CATCGTTCCCTTAATAGTGTCATTTAGTCTATGCTTTCTCTAGATGTAAGAACACTGTATCAACACATTCAATGCAAAAATAAAAGTAGATTCTGGCATAGTACTGCTCACTCGATAAATCTTATTTAATTACTAGAGACCTGATGCGTGAAATTTGTGCAAGGGGCTCAGTCCCTGCTCTGGTGGCTTTGTCTGAAGGCCATCCAGAAGGATGTCCAGAAGGACATCTGGTTAATTAGCATATTATGCTTTTATTATTATAGATGGACTAAAGTATGATTGTACAACATGCTACAATAGTCCCCATTTTAAGATAGAAAAATAAGGATTGAAAGGGTTATGTAAGTTATTCTATGTTAGTCTAAGGGTTAAGGGAATGTCAGGGTTTAAACCTAAATTATTACACCCCAAAGTCTATGCACTTTCACATCAAAGAGGGAGGAGAAACTGCCTTGTGAAGGGCATGGAGCTACCTAGTAAAGGTAAGAGGGCAGCATTAAGATGGTTCTGTGGAGATGGCTATTATGATGGGGGGGAAGGGGAGATGTCTTTGAAAAAAATGGCCATTAGCTTAGAAAAAAAAAAGCAATGCTCAGAAAATAAGTGAAATGTCATGTTAAAGTAGCAAGGAAAACCAGATTGAATGAGAATTAATCTTCATAGTGAAAATAGTTGAAAGTAGCTGAGAAAGAACCCAAGGACAATAAGAGAAAATCTACTGTAAAAATACTGAGGAGGGTGAATTTAAAAATATGTACTGCTTTTTCTATTTCTACAATAAATATAACTGCATAAAGTGTGGAAAATATAGAAAAAGTAATAAAATAAGATAAAGATTACAAGTAATTTCACCATCCAAGGATAAGTAGTAATATCTTTTCAATGCATCCATTATATTCATTTGTAAGAATTAATCATCTTTAATATAATCTCCTCTATTTGGAGATTATATTTATGTTGCTTCCAATTTTTATTCTAATAAAGTTGTTCAAACATTAACAGGTATTCATTTAGAATTAATTATACCAGTAATAGTTGATAAGTTTCAGTATCAATAACCAACTATTGCAGTATAATTAATGGCTTATTGTATCTACTTTTTGTCATCACTCTAGATAAAACCACTATATCGAATATCTGTATTTTGATATCTTTATATTTAAACGCACAAAAAATTTATATTTTATAATTGTATTTTAAAAGGCAATTTGCACTCTTCAAATAATTTTTATTTCATCTACATTAAAAAAAAAAATCAGTGACATAAAGTAGTGAAGGAAAAAGAGCCGCATGCTAACCTGACAATCTCAGGGGAGGTCTGTGTGGCAGTCTTGCAAACTCAGAGACCTAAAATAAGCACAAAAGATGGTTTGAAAATTAAATATCTAACTACAAACAGGTTATAGTGGGTAGTCATGTTCTAGGCCGATATCTCACCTGACAAAGATCAACTTAGATCTTCTTTACTGAGCCCTTCTGCCCTCCCACCTCTAAGATAACATATCTGTGAGATGTCTGGGTGACTTGTAACTTCCCCTTTTCTGGAGCCCCTGGGGCACACCCAAATGTGGTTGGTGCCAGGACAGTTGCCTCAAATTCCTTTGTTACCATGTTAATTGTTCCTGCACTCACCTAAGTCGAAGTCCATCATTTTACTTTTTATCCAATCCCAGGGGTTTCCCACCACTTTGCTTTCTTCTGCCTCCTTACTCCATCACCAACGAATTTCATGTAACCCACCTATGTCCCTCCTTTGATTTCAGTGTATAAATAGAAATGTAACCCCGCCATTCTTTGGAGCATTATCTCAATCCATTGAGGTTCTGCTTTTCGGCATATGTTGACAGTTTGGCTCAAATAAACTCACTAAAATTCTTTACAGGTTTCAATGGTTTTTTTCCATTAACAAAGTTGTTATAATATTCATAACTGTCATTTTAATTGCTGTGAGGACACTGGTGATATCTTATCTTTTATTTATGATGCTGGTAATTTTTGTTTACCCTATTTTTCTTGATCACTATAGCTCTGAATTTAATAATCTTGCTGAACTTTACAAAATACAACTTTTGATATTGTTCATATTACCTTGTTTTCTGTTTTCTATTTACTTGGCTTTTATTCTAACCTTTTAAATTTTTTTTCTTTACCTTACTTAAATATGTTATTTCTTTTAGTTCTTAAGTTGTAACTTAGATCATTATGTATTTTAAAAGCTGTCTTATTGTAATATGTCTTTAATATTATACTTTCCCTTTAACCACTGAGTTACCAACATCCAACAAAATTTTATATATTGTGTTTTAATTATCAGTCAACTTGGAATATTTCCTAATTTCTCTTTTGGTTTCTTATTTGACTCACTGGTTATTTAGTAGAGTGTTGTTTAACTATCAGGTGTTGAAAAATGTCCCAAATATTTTATTGTTACTAAATTCTATTGTAGTTCATTCCTGTTGTGATTAAAAAATATGCTGAAAGGCTGAAACCAGTTTGGCTCAGTGGATAGAGAGTTGGCCAGTGGATTGAAAGGTCAAGGGCATGTACCTTGGTTGCAGGCACATCTCCAGTAGGGGTTATGCAAGAGGCAGCTGATCGATGATTCTCTCTCATCGATGTTTCTAACTCTCTATCCCTCTCTCTTCCTCTCTGTAAAAAATCAATAAAATATATTTAAAAATATGCTGAAATATTCCAATTTTTGAAATTTATTATGATTTTTAAAATTACTACTATATGGTTCTTTGTGAAAAATATTCCAAGAGCACTTGAAGAAATGGTGTATTCTGCAGTTGTCAGTACCTGTCAATTTGATTGATAAGGTTGTTTACATCTTTAATCTTACTGATTTCTGTGTACGTGTTCTATCAGTTAATTGGAAAATGATGCTATAATCTTCAATTATGATTATGGATATGCCTTTCTTTCATTTAATTCAGGCAAGTTTTTTGCTCCATGTATTTGAAGCTCTGTTGTTTATTATATACATTTTAAAACACTTGTCTTCCTGATGAAACTTTTTATCATCAGGAAATGTCATCTGAAAATATTCTTGTATTGAAGTCGCTTTGTCTGATATATTAATATAATCATGCCAACTTTTTATGATGTTTACATGATATCTTTTCCATTGTTGATTTTCAACTCACCTGTACCTTTATTTTTTTTATTATTTTTTAAAATATATTTTATTGATTTTTTACAGAGAGGAAGAGAGAGGAATAGAGAGTTGGAAACATCGATGAGAGAGAATCATCGATCAGCTGCCTCTTGCACACCCCCTACTGGGGATGTGCCCGCAACCAAGGTACATGCCCTTGACTGGAATCCAACCCCGGACCTTTCAGTCCGCAGACCAACGCTCTACCACTGTGCCAAACCGGTTTCGGCTCACCTCTACCTTTATATTATAAAGCTTATCTTTTTACTAAATGCATATCATGGGGTTTTCTAATTTTTCATTTTGAGTCCTGGGAAGAAAGTTAATCACCTACTAGATCAATTAAATACAAATGTTTAAAATAATACAACAGAACTCAGAGTCTTTACAAGGCTGACATTGGCCAGTTGTTGACTAACACTTAACTACAATAGATTTGCAAAGAAACAGGCACTTACGACCTTTGCTCAAGAAGAAAAGAGCAGGTTAATGTAGGAAAGAACACTTTTAATAAATCTGGAAGAAAGATAATGTCAATTATATGCAAGAGGCAAAACAAACCATTAGATCCATTCGGGAGTAATATCTTTCCTGGGCTATTTGGCATTTATAACTTACATTCTGCTCTAATAAAACAAATACATTTTCTTATAAGTAACATTTTCAGAGTGCATTTGTCCTTGAAGTCCACTCTGGGAAGACCCAAACGAACAGCTCATCAACAAGTTTTTGTTTCAAAGCCTCCACAAGCAAGGTTTTTGCCATCAATAGAAGTAATGCTTAAAAACCTAAATTTTCATCCATTGCCTTGCATGGGGACACTGAGACAGAAGGGAGGCAGCTGAGGGAGGAGGGGGGGAAGAGGCCTAGAGGGAGCGATTTTCCCAGCCAAATGCAGGTAACCTTGGCCCAGTTCTGAACACAGTGGTGAAGCTGGGAGGAGGGGGGAGGGGTGGGGGCGGGAGCAGAGTGCACGCTGGGGAGGTGGGGGTTGGGTGGGAGGAGTGGGCAGTGTGCCTGAGCTCGTGGGCGGCCAGGAGGCTGGCAGGAAACGTTGGCGCCCTACTGCTTCCCGACCAGCACCCACAGAAAACGCAGCAGGAGCCACACCCCGCCCAGACGCCAGGGGCCCAGGTACTCCCACAAAGGCCACAGGCCTGGACCAAGGGACCAAGGGGGCTGTGCCTTCCTGTACCGCGGAGCTTAAAGGAGGTCCTGTTTGTGCAGGGCTCGTTTGGGGGGGGTGTGGGGGGGGGGAAGAGGGGGAAAGAGGAGAAGGGGTTCCTCAGGGTATGCTGGGATGTAGTCTGGTTGCCCTGGGTCACACTGATGTTGCTATCACAGGGGAAACACTCTCTCAAAGCCCCGGAGGCCACCGGACAAACAGGTTCCTGGGCCTCGCTGGCTGACCACCTGTGGGCAGTTCATGCTGTGCCCCTCCACTGAGCGGCCTTGCTCTAGAAGTGAGATCTCCGTGGGGAAGGGCTGCAGGGAGACCCATGAGCACCTTCAGAGAGGTGAACACAGAGCACAAAGCTCCAGGACAATACACACAGCTGTGCCTAGGAAACTCTGCCTCCTTCCATTCTCACCTGCCTTCGGGATTCTCCTGCTGGGAAGACCTTTGGCTGCTGTAAGCAAGCCTTAGAGAGCGCCCAGTGTGAGGAGGCCTGGGAGACACTGGAGTCTCTGTGGGGGGAGTACCTAAGCCGCTAGGGAAGGGACATTTATTTCTATGGTGCTTTAAGATGTTGCTTGAACGCACAAACAGGACAGTATTTAAATTTCTCTGAAATGTTTTCTATTTGTCTCCCCTTTTTTTCCGTGTGATAGTGGACACATGGCAGGCAAAAAGCGGGAAATCCAGTTACAGGTAGGCATGATCTAGCAGCAGTTCTTAACTTGGTGGCACGGGCACTGGAAGGCCATGTACAGTGCCTTCTGTTTTGCAGGCTGTCATCAACACCCAAAGCCTCTGGGAGGAGATGTTGCAGAACAAAGGTGTAACAGGTACTGGGGTCCCTCCCCCAACCAGTAACCTCGAGTTTGGCCCAGGGCACCTCATGGCACCCCAGCACAGAGCACAGCTCCCTACTTCCACAAAAGGCCCTGCTGTGTCTTTGCCCCTGCCCCAGCCCTGAGATAAGCTGCTATTCCAGAATTGTTGATTCCATTCTTTCATAAATATCGTCTTCTAGTGATCGATGTTTACCAAGCCTGGTGTGGACCTTGCAAAGCAATGCAAACGTTATTCAGGAAATTGAAAAATGAGCTGAATGAAGACGAAATTCTGCATTTTGTTGTAGTAAGGATTTAACTTCCATAAAACTATTGTTTTCTTGTTACTTTACGTCTTCAAGTGTTCTCTTTAAGGATTGTCTTGAGTTAAACAACCTGTCAACTCTTCAGAATGGACAGTGTTTGCTGGGAAGTTTTACTCTATATTTAGTTTGACCTGATCTGAGAACAAACGAGATTTTTGCACCATGCCTAGAACATTGAGATTATTGGCCATGGTTGTGAACATTAGAAAAGTATACAAATGGTTATCTGTTTATTGATGTTTCTTTTCATCTGACCTTATGCAATGTGTCTTAGAATCAGAGCTCCAAGTACTACTCACTGAATAGCTTTGGGAAGGCTCTGGGCATTTACTGGGGTTGGTATAAGAGGTTAAAAGACAGTACCAGAAGGATCTAACAGCTGGCAGATGGGTCACAGACCATCAGGCATCCTCAGAAAATTCTATTAATCCTCCTCACTCAGCACACACAGCTCAGAGCGGCGTGAGGATACAGGTCTGAGCTTTATGACTGTCCTTTCAGCAGTACCCAAACCTGACTGAATGCCTCAGCCTACTCCACAGGCATCAATTCCATGACTATGTCTATCCCACTGGGAAGTGCTAGTAGTCTTTCCAAGATATGCCTAACTACCATACTTACATCTGTTAAATTTATCAAAAAAATGTTCGCATTGTCCTTGAGTGTTCTATTATGTTTGAACACATTCAACAGTAGTATACTCACATAAACTGATGCTGTCTTTGTATGACTTCTAAAGGGTAAAGAAAATGAATTCTTAGTTTCCAAACCTCCATTGTAAACAATGGACAGTCGCCCTCTGCTGGATATTTTACTTTCTGCAGGTAGCCTCTTTGGGGACCTTTCTGAACTTGTGAATTTAAATCCAAAATTAAGCCCTATGACATTGATTATTTTTTATATCACCGTAAGCTGAATGGTCATATACATTTTTCTGTTATGTGCCCTTTTAAAAGACTTAGAGACTTGTACTAACATTGTACCAATACATATAAAATTCAGTAAAAAATATTGTATTTTTATAAAGTCATTAAATGCTTTACATGTTAGTGCTTTATTATGATATAAACATTGTAATAATGATATCTGATTAGTTTAAAATAAAATATTTGACTTCTGTTGCTTAATATGGTAGATTACTTTCTTTCAGCCTCTTTCATTCTTATTTTTGGGTAGTGGTGGTGGGGGGTGAGGGTGCCATAAATGTGAACAGCCAGAGTCAGGTTGAGGCCAAATGATGCAGAGCCTGAAATGCCAGTGTTTGCAATTTGATCCTTAAAATTACTGCATACTAAGAGAATGTTGAATAAATATAAAAATAAAATGTATGTGTATCTGTGTTTGTTTGTTTGTTTGTTTGTATATAGTGCATCTAATGACTTGAATATAGTTTCCTATATTATCATCTGAAATATTAATATCTATTTTCCAGGCTGAAGCTGACAGCATTTTGGCCTTGCAGCCATTTAGAGAAAATTGTGAACCTATTTTTCTTTTTAGTGTTGTAAGTATAATATTTATTTTCTCAAATGTATTATCAGATTCCAATTTCTAGTTAAAGAGCAAGTAGCATTATAAAATATTACCACAGAACTCTTTTCTGGTGAAAGTCATTATAGATTTTTTTTTTTACTTCATCTTTCCTTCTCTGTTAATATAGTTTATATAAACTGACTTCTAGGAGCTAATAATGGAGAGATTAGACTACCATATACTGAGCTAATCAAAGAAAAGGAACACAAGATGTATTTACTTTTCTTAAAGAAATAATCAGACAGCCTGGCCAGTGTGGCTCAGTGGTTGAGTGTTGACCTTGACTAGGAAATCAAGGTTCAATTAAGGATCAGGGCACATGCCTGGGTTGTGATCCCCAAGGGGAAGTGTGCAGGAGGCAGACAATCGATGATTCTATCTCATCATTGATGTTTCTATTTCCCTCTTCTTTCCTCTCTGAAATCAATAAAACATATATATTTTTTAAAATAATCAGACATTTGTATGATGAATTATTACTTACTGGAGTTAAAAACTGGAAATTTCTTAGATACCCAGTAGGAGAGTCTTGATTATAAATATTCACATATACCAACCTAAGGAAATAGCTGTGTGATCACTATTTTGTAATATATATTAACTTCTCTCTCTATATTTACAAAGGAAGACAGAAAGAGCATTCATCAGACTCTATTATGGGGGAAAGATGTAAAATTTCACTTTTCTTCTTTATACTTTTCTATATTTTCCAAATATTCTGTGGTGAACACACAACTTTAGTAATCAGGAAACCATAGTAAGTGCTATTTTCTAAGAGGAGAGTACACAGTTAAGGGCTAACTTGTTTGATAAGAGTGTGGAAGCTAGGGACCTGGGGTGGTGAGGAAAGGCCTCGAACAGAGGGCAAGGACCTCCTCTGCTGCTGGGTACTTTAATTCTCATCTTTTCTATTAAAAATAATGACTTAAAAACAATTCTTGGATATAACTTTTCCCTTTTGTTAAATAATACTCTTTCAATGACTTCAAGGAACTGAATCACTGAGTTCATTGAGTTTACAGTTGCATTGTAGATCTGGCTCTGTAGGATTTGATGAATGAGATCAGGGGTCAGCCAACTTCTTCTGTAAAGGACTAGATACTCAGTATTTTCAGCATTGCCGAAATATTGGCTCTGCATTGGGCCATAGTTTGCTGATTCCTGGCCTGGAGTTTGCGTAGGGAACCAGAATGAGTAACTGCATGAAGCAGGAAGGGGCTTAAGCTAATGAGACATGAGGAGACTCTAGCAGTAGCAGCAGTTAGGAACAGGGGACTGAGGAAGAAAGACTGGAGCTCTGGGATAACCATCACCCTGCCAAGTTAGCCAGGCCTGGTCAGTAGACCTTAACCAGGAGACTCAATTAACCCAGTGCAGATAGGCTAAAACCAAGAGGAATTGAACTGGTGACCAATAGGTGCATGGGTTGACAACCACTGTACCATTCTGGCCAGGCACTGAGACCTTATTTTTATTTTTATTTTTTTAAATATTTTTTTATTGATTTTTCATAGAGAGAAAGGGAGAAGGAAAGGGACCTAGAAATGTTGATGAGAGAGAAACATTAACCAACTGCCTCCTGCACACCCCCTACCAGGGATGTGTCTGCAACCAATAAACATGCCCTTGACCAGAATTGAACCTGGGACCTTTCAGTCCACAGACCAACGCTCTATCCACTGAGCCAAACCGGTTTTGGGTGAGACCTTATTTTTAAATGGCTAATACAATTGCTAAGAAAGGAATGGTGGAAGTATGGGTCAGGGCGGGTTACTTAGTTTAGTTGGTGTTAATTTTTGACTTACCTTGAAAATGAATCTTTCCTTCATGTTTTCTTTTCCTTTATAGAATGGCAAAATTATTTCAAAGATTGAGGGTGCAAACGCACCACTTGTTAATGAAACAATTATTAACTTGGTGAATGAGGAGAGGAAAATTGCAGCAGGTGAAATGGTTCGCCCTCAGGTAATAGTTTGCACTCCTGGCTATTTTGTGTTTTAAAATAGCTATGACATCTTTTTTGTTGTTTTCCTAAAGCACTTTCCCTAATTCTATAACTGTCCAGGTAACTAAATGTTGCACTTTCTTTTCTTTCTTTCTTTCTTTTTTCTTTTTTTTTTTTTTTAATATATTTTACTGATTTTTCACAGAGAGGAAAGGAGAGGGATAGAGAGTTAGAAACATCGATGAGAGACATCGACCAGCTGCCTCCTGCACACCCACTACTGGGGATGTGCCTGCAACCAAGGTACTTGCCCTTGACCGGAATCGAACCCGGGACCCTTCAGTCCCCAAGCCGACGCTCTATCCATTGAGCCAAACCGGTTTTGGCTAAACGTTGCACTTTCTGAAAAGTATCTTGGCAATATGGATTAAAGGCCCTAAAAAACATAGGTATCCTTTGAGCAATTACACTCCCAATAAGCTTTCCTAAGAAGATAATGACAAATATAGAAAAGAATGCTTATTGAGGTGTTGTCTGTTATTAAAATACTAGGGGCCCAGTGCATGAATCCATGCATCTTAAAAGGACCTGTGGGCACTAGGGGGCTCTCGGCCCATCCTCCAGCCCCCTCTCAGGCCCTCCCGCCTTGGGCCCCAATTCCCTGCTTATTGACATTCCTGCTCCCGCTGCCGCCACTCTCACTTGCTGATAGCGTGGAGTGATTGGAGCTGGTGCCAGCAATGGGTGGGACCGGCAGCTGTTGCCCTGATTGTCCCTCAGGAGCAGGGGGAGGTGATTGGGGCCGGCAGAGACAGCTTGCACCTGCTGACAGTGCTGAGTGATCGGCACTGGGGGCTGGCAGCAGTGCAGTCAGCAGCTCTGACACTGGCTGCAGGTGTGAGTGGGGCCAGCGCTGGAAGGAAGTGTGAGCACCAGCTGGGACTGTGGTGTGTGGGGGCAAAGAATTTTCAATAACCACCAGAGGCTCACCCCAATGACAGCGACCAGCGCCCCACCTTGGTCTGGTGCCCCACTCACCTGCTCCACCATCCCACCCCAGCCAACACCTGCTATGTTCTGTGCTCTGCCGCCTACTGCCGATGCCTTTTATGTTCCGTGCAGGGCCCTGATGGCCAATGCATATCATAGCAACTGGTTGTTTGGTTGTTTTGCTCTTCAGTCTATTTGCATATTAGGGTTTATATGTGTGGAGGGCTGTTTCTCTGTTTTCTGAGACCTGCATGGAAAATGACAGGTTCCTGAGTGGAGGAGTTGGGGATTAAGAAATTTTAAAAAAAGAGAGAGACCAAGACACAGAAATAGATAGAAGCTGGGACCCAGGTCAGGGGCTATCACTCTGATGGAGAGACAGTCAACACACAACACAGCACATTGACTTATTTCCAAAAGAATAATGGGAGGATTCCCTGAAAAGCTTAGAATCAAAGGAGTTTTGGGTGTGCCCAGGTCCTATTCATTCCTCATTCCTTGGATTGAGCATATTAAGACCTGGGTTGCCGAAACCAGTTTGGCTCAGTGGTCTGCGGACTGAAAGGTTGCAGGTTCGATTCCGGTCAAGGGCATGCACATTGGTTGCGGGCACATCCCTGGTAGGGAGTGTGCAAGAGGCAGCTGGTCGATGTTTCTCTCTCATCGACGTTTCTAGCTCTTTATCCCTCTCCCTTCCTCTCTGTAAAAAATCAGTAAAATATATTTAAAAAAAAAAAAAAAAAAAAAGAGCTGGGTAAGTCAAGGTCCTATTCATTCCTCATTCCAAGCACATGCATAAAGATAAGAAGTGGGTACTGATAACAGTCTCCCACATTTTGGGGAAACATGTTCCCAGGGTGTGGCTCTGCCTATGCCTTGAGTTTAGGTGATGATAATTAAAGGTCATCCATGTGCATTCCCAAGGTGCCCTCTACAACAATATTTATAGATTTGGAATTAGGCAAAGGAGAAGATGGCGGTGGAGTAGGTAGATCTTGCTTGCACCTTCTGCTGGAACCAAACTAGAAGTAAAATGCAATTAGGGAACATTCACTCTGAATTACCAACTGAAGACTAAAGAGGAGATTTTTTAAAGAAGGAAAAGCAGAAATTACCTTGGGACTGGTAGGAAGAGCAGTGGTCATGAGAAGGGATGGCCGGGCTCTCAGGGGCAGCAGCCCAAGAGTGTGGAGAGATATCTTGTTTTCATGGGGCGGGAGTGGAGAGATTACCCTGAGAGGAGTGAGGCCTGGACTCCCACCTGAGCTTCCCATCCCAGAGTATCAGAGCTGGGAATAGCCACCTCTGTTGCATCCAGGGTTGAAAGGTGTGGGGCTTCTATTCACCAAGGGAGAGAGGAATCCTGCTGGGGACAAATCTTATTTTTTTTTAAAGGATCAGAGCGCAGGGTTTTTGTTCACAGTCACTCACCCTAGAGGGAAGGCAGTGCAACTAAAGTCACCTGAGGAGAGTCTGGGGTGGGAGGCTTTGGGGAAAGACATGAGAGAGAAGCTGCCAGGATCCTGTGCTTGGTCATCCCCATTGATACCACAGCATCTATTTTTCCTGAGAGGCACAGCCCCTCCCCATCAGCAGCAGCCTGGAGAAGCTCATCCCATTTTTGGAATCCCTGCTCACCACACCTTGCATTTCCACCCCCACTGAGGAGGCAGTAGCTGAGACCCAGTCTGGGTCTGTGGGTTGCTCAGACTCTGGGGGAATTGGTAATTGGCTTCCTGTGGAGCCATTTCTCTCCCTTTCCCAGGAATCTGGTGGCACTCCCAGCTTCCAGCAGACCCCAATGGCCTGCTTCGAGGTGCTCCACCCTCCGGAGCTCAGGGAAATATTCCAGGACATGGGTGGTGGCAATTCCCAAGGTACCTAGGGACATTTGTTGATCTGCTTCTGGGCCCCATGCTGCTAACATGTGGGTCATGGAGCATAGCTTGGCCCTTCCCATGTGCAGCCAAACTCAGGAAATTCCTAGAGTCATACATAAACTGTGGATCGCTTGAAGCTTTGATCAGATTGCCGAGAGCCGATTATGGACAACTTCTGACATTGGCTAGCACCAAAGTACAACTGCAAGGCCTGTAAATGGCCCACAAAGTAGCCTTATACAACATGAGGACGAGATCCAATGGGAGATGTCAGCAGGCACTAAACACCCCAACACCTCAGTTCTTTTCATTCTTTTATTTTTTATTGCTTTATTATTTTTTATTTTATATCTCTTATTTTTTCTTTCCTTTGCTTATTCTTTTTTTTCCCTTAAATTTTTTCTCTCCTTTTATTTATACTTTTTTCTTTCCCTGTGCTTTATTCTTATATTTTTCTCTTCCTTTCACCTTTCATATGTTCCCCCCTTTTTATTCTTGTATTCTGCTTCCCCGCACCCCCGCTCCTTTTTTTTTATTTTTATTTTTTTATTATTCTTGTGCTCTTTTCTCTTTCCTAAATCGTCTTTTCTTTTGCAGTTGTTCTTATTGTAGCTGTTAGGTTCCTTTGCATGGTTTTTCTTTTGTTCTGTCAGCATCTTAAAAAGCTCACATGATGTGTTCAGGGTTGAGCTTCAAAGTCATCCAGCCTGAGGGGATTCCACCCACAAACAGGACAATGACAATCAAGACCCAGTTATAACAGGAGGGTCAATTAACCCACACAAGGAAATTCCTAGAGCATCCAGCTAAAGAGGTAAAAGAAACTGCATGACTGAGTCCCACAGGAAACTTAATACATAAGGACAATAAACAACGACAACAAAACACACAAGATTGTTTCAGTGAAGTTTGTCTACATGAAAGGTAACAATATCCATCCCAATATCATAGGGTACCAGAAGGAGAAGAAAGAGAGAAAAAGATAGAAAACCTGTTTGAAGAATTAATGACAGAAAACTCTAATTTGGTGAAAGGAAAGGCCATAGAAGTTCAGGAAGCACCGAGTCCCAATCAAGATGCACTCAAAGAGATCCACACCATCTACATCATAATTAAAATGGCAAAAGTTAAAGAGGTAATCATAAAGGCAACAAGAGAAAAACAGAGTTTCCATAAAGCTATCAGCTGACTAAAAAAAAAAAAATCCCCAAAACAAAAAGCATCACTATATCCCAGAAGGGATTGGCATGAAGTATTCAAAGTAATGAAAAGCAAGGACTAGAACTCAAGACTACTCTATCCAGCAAGGATATCATTTACAATTGAAGGTGAAATAGAGAGTTTTCCCCAAAAAAAGTCTAAAAGAGTTCATTTTCACCAAACCAGCATTGTAAAAAATATTAAGTTAAAGGGACAGCTTTAAGAAGAAAAAGAGAGGAACATAGGTACCAAGAAAAAAAGTGGCAATAAATAAGTACCTATCAATAGTAACTTTAAATGAAAATGGATTGTTTCAATAAAAAAACACAGGATACCTGAATGGATAAGAAAACATAACCCATATATATTCTATCTACAAAGAGACCCATCTCATAATAAAAGATTCACAAAGACTGAAAGTGAAGGGATGGAAAAAGATAGTCCATGCAAATGAAAAAAAAAAAAAAAAAAAGCTGGAGTAACAATCTGACAAAATAGATTTCAAAACAAAGGCTATAAAAAGAGACAAAAAGTTATTTATTCTCTTGCCAAAACAATGTTTATATATAAACTAGAGACTTGGGGCAAGAAATTCGTGGGCTGGATGGGTGGAGGGGGGCACCCTCAGCCCGGCCTGCACCCTCTTGCAGTCTGGGACCTATTGGGGGGTGTCTGCCTGCTGGCTTAGGCCCAGTATCCCCAGGGAACAGGCCTAAGCTGGCAGTCAGACGTCCCTCTCACAGTTTGGGGCTCTTGCAGTTCAAGACCCCTTGCTCCTTCCCACTGCCTGCAGCGGAGATGGCAGAGGCTCCTGCCTCTGTGGCTGAGCTTGCCAGCCATGAGTCTGGCTTCTGGCTGAGCTGTGCTCCCCCTGTGGGAGTGAACTGACCACTAGGGGGCAACTCCTGCTTTGAGTGTCTGCCCCCTGGTGGTCAGTGTGCATCAGAGTGACCTGGTAGTTCTGGTCCTTCCACTATAAAGGCTGCTTGGGCTTTTATTATTATAGATATATATATACAGAATCACAGAAGCACTTTCAGGGCTTCTCAGGTTATGAAGACCTTCATTACTGCCCCCATCCTTTCCGGTATTTTAGCCTATAGTAGGCAATGAACTATTGTTTTGAGCAAGATTTTTTTTTTTTTTTTTTTTTTTTTTTTTTTTAAGTTAAGGTGTTATCTTTCTGTTTCTAATTTACTAATAGTAGTAGTCAGGAATGGATTTTGACACTTATCAAATACTCTTTTTTAATTATGTATTTACTAGAAGCACAGTACACAAAATTTGTGCATGAGGGGGGTCCCTCAGCCTGGCCTGCACCCTCTCCAATCTGGGACCCCTTGGACCTAAATGTCAGTTGGAAATCCCTCTCATAGTCCAGGACTGTTGACTCCTAACTGCTCTCCTGCCTGCCTGCCTGATTGCCCTTAACTACTTTTGCCTGCCAGCCTAATTGCCCACTAACTGCTCCCCTGCCTGCCCGATCATCCCCAACTACCCTCTCCTGCTGGACATCTTGTGGCAGCCCTATTTTGGTGGCCATCTTATGGTGGTGATCTTGTGGTGGCCATCTCGTGATGACATGAGGGCATCACGCGAGGATGCAATCACCAGGTAGGCTTTTATTATTATAGATTGTTTTCTTGTTAATATATGCTTCTTTCTAATTTTGTTTCTTGTACTCTTCTTAAGTTTAAATTTTTTAAACCATTTCCATACAGCATATATGCATTTTTTTTTTTATAATAGTTCCTCTACCTTACCTATTTTAAATATTCTTTATCCTGTTTTAATGGAAAGTTTGGGAAAAGCAGTGTTAGATAAATGCAGGAACATTGCCACTTTACCTTTTATCCCTTGAATTATAAATATTTATCAGAAAGAAAATTTCTAAAAATTCACTATTGTTTGGGCGCCACATATGTCTATCTCCTTCACGGCCCGTGTGGAAAGAGTTCCAATTCAGGGTTCGGGTTCTGGAAAAGGGCCGCACACAAATGAAGAGACTTGAGACTTGAAGAGATTCAACTTGGCGATATGGGGGGTTGGGGGTGGGGGGCAGGCAGTAGTCCAACTCTAGTGGGAGAACTACTCCTGCTTTGGCCCTGCCATCCCCTTTTATTAAGGCTTTGGGGAAAACATCTTAGGCAACATAAACAGAAATTTACATGTAGCCCTTAGGCAGGAAATAACAGAAACTTACACGGGTCAAACAAGGTGGAGGCCGCTTCAGCTAACAATGTCTCAACTAAAGGTTAGAGCAGGGGTCCTCAAACTTTTTAAAGTGGGGGCCAGATCACGGTCCCTCAGAGAGCTGAAGGGCCGGACTATATGAACTACTAATTTCTACCCACACTGCACATCTCTTATTTCGCAAAAAGGTAACAAATACAATATAAATAAAATGAAGAACATTTATAAATAAACAGATCACTTACCAGTATTTCAATGGGAACTGTGGGCCTGCTTTTGGCTGGGGCGGCATGCTGTCAGTCTCAATTCTTCCACAAAGAGATTTGGTCCAAGTCCCTCCCCCCCCCCCCCCCCCCCCACCTGGCAGAATTTTGATTTCTCATATCAGCACCGAACACCTTCCCCCCAAAACTGGCAGAATTTTCCATATGGGCAATTCAGCACCGAACCCCTAACCTCCCCCCACCTCCCACCTGGCAGAATTTTGATTTCACATATCAGCACCGAACACCTTCCCCCCAAAACTGGCAGAATTTTCCATATGGGCAATTCAGCACCGAAGCCCTGACCTCCCAACCACCCCCCACCACCCACCCCCCAACTGGCAGAATTTTGATTTCACACCGAACGTCCCCCCGCCCCCAAAGGGGAATTTTCATATGAGTCACCAACCCCCCAATCGGGCAGAAACCCCCCATCTGGCAAAAATTTCTTTCTATGGCACTTTCGACCGACCTTTGGTGAAGGCAGTAGAGGGAGAGAGGAGGAGAACCTCACTGACAGGCAGGCACAGCACACAGACACCACGTTGCCTGGGGGTGAAGCAGGCGCCTTTTTACATCATTGCCGCGCAGCACAGCACAGATGTGCCTGTGCGGCAGCACGTCGCACGCTCTGAGCCCCAGCAGGCACTGTGCTCTTAAAGAGGCAGAGGGGTCAGAGCAGCCGTGCACTGACAGTGTATATGCAGGTCCTGGCGGCCGAACTGTAACACCTCGGCTGCGCTCTGCAGGCCGCATGTGGCCCGCGGGCCGTAGTTTGAAGACCCCTGGGTTAGAGCAATTAAGGTTGTTGACCAGCCTTCCTGGCTTCCTATCAACATCTTTTTTTTTTTTTTTTTTTTTTTTTTAGTGAAACTGATTTGTTTTCCAGCACACTACCAGATTAAAATGTAATTGTTTTATTTGCATTTTTCTTTCATAGTATCATGAAATTGTAGACTCAAATGCAGGTAATGCCAGGAAAGCATCCAAAGAATCTATGGGTAAGAAAATTTAAAATAATGGCAAGAGATTTGTAGTACATGGATGCTCACCACAGCATCTCCTAAATTAGTAAACAGCTGGTATTAGCATCAGTGTGAATTGATAAGGAACTGGTGGGATAAATGATGATTTGTGCAATACTAGACTCAGTTATTAAAAGGAAACCTCTTTTTCCCAGCAGGCATGGCTCAGTGGTTGAGTGTTGACCTATGAATCATAAGGTCATGGATTTATTCCCAGTCAGGGCATGTGGTCAGGGCACATGTCCGGGTTGCGTGCTTCCAATCACTGTGGGATGAGGCAGCCAATCAGTGATTCTTTGTCATCATTGATGTTTCTGTTTCTCTCTCCCTCTCTCTTACTCTCTGTAATCAATTAGAAAATTTTTTTTTTTTTTTTTAATTTCTTTTGCTTCCCTTCCCCTTTCCTTTGCTTTCTATAGTCTGGAGCCTTTCAGGACCAATGCCTACCTATTATTTATTTATTTATTTATTTTGTGTGTGTGTGTGTGTGTGTGTGTGTGTGTGTGTGTGTTTTGTTTCTTTTTATTTTATTTACAACTATTATTATTATTATTAGTAGTAGTAGTAGTAGTACTACAAACTCTTGTGAATGTTTCTCTTGTATGCAAATGTAGGAAGTGAACCTTGATTCCAAATAGAACCTCTTGGGTAGTTGAAATGCCACAATTAGAACAAATCTGTCAATGGACAAAAATCCACTTGGACATCAGTAGCTTACATTTTTAATTATTAAATCTTCATTATCTAGACGTCATACCAAGACAATAAAATTTTTCTATTTATTTTTTTCCCAGACCAAATATTTAGTATTGCTATTATCAAACCCGAGGCTATGAATACTGGAAAAACTATAGAAATTAAAGAAAATGTAAGTAATATTTCACAACAATAGTTTAAATTAACTGAAAAATAACAACCCCTTAATTGTCAATTTAGAGATAAGCTTATCATTTAGAGTAAAAATAGGACATCATGAATTTCTGGTGCCTCGAATGGCTTTGAATGTTTTGTCTTTAAAAGGACAGAACCATTCAGGCATCCTTATTTAAATAACTTGATTCTTCTATTAGATTGTAGCGAATGTTTTTCATGTTGGGTGAAAACTTGTTATAAGCTAACATGAGCTTGCTTTATTCCTTACATATTGTCATAAATGTATAGTTGTTTTTTTAGGTATAAGATAACTTATGGAAGCCGGTTTGGCTCAGTGGTAAAGCGTCGGTCTGCGGACTGAAAGGTCCCAGGTTTGATGCCGGTCAAGGGCATGTACATTGGTTGCGGGCACATCCCCGGTACGGGGTGTGCAAGAGGTGACTGGTCGATGTTTCTCTTTCATCGAGGCTTCTAGCTCTCTATCTCTCTCCCTTCCTCTCTGTAAAAAAATCAATAAAATATATTTTAAAAAAAGTAGAAGCTTTGAATGTTAATCTTAGCTCTGACCTTATAAATAAAAAAAAAGATAACTTATGGATGTATTTAATATTTTGCTTTAGAGAAACAAAAATTAGAGGAAAATTGCATTTTAATCCAAAGGTCAATAGACATTTTTTATAGAGGGTCATTTGGTAACTATTTTCAAATTTGTTGGGTACATGGTCTCTGTCACAACTCTGCGGTCATATGGAGAAAGCACCAGCAGACACTATGTGCACAAACAATATGACTATGTTCCAATAAACTTTATTTAAAAACAATAGTCGGTGGGCTAGATTTTGACTGCAAGCTATTGTTTGCTGACCCCTGAATAAAGACTTTGTGTAGAAACAACAAAATTATATTGAAATTTGAAAGAATATTGCATGTGCAGTATAGGAGATCACATAGAGAGCTATTTCAGAAGGGGTTGGGTATTTCTCAATGAACTTCCCATCATGCATTCTTTCTTTAGCCATAGTAGCATTATCACTGATTAATGGTCCATGGGTCATGGTACAAATATTCTCTCTCCCAATTATGAGTTGATTCAATTGATACTTCTAAGTATAAACCTCACTCCCCTTTCCCAGATTCTGGTGTGTATGTGGGAAGGGAGACACAGACTGTATCTCAGTGCCCCATATATTACTTTATCCTATATAATAAAGAGGTAATATGAAAATTGACCCTCACAACCTCATGTCACAGGATGGCTACCCCCACATTGTCACAAATGGCCCCACTCCCTGATGTCACAAGTTGGTTGGCAGGGGAGGGCAGTTGGGGGTGACCAGGACTGCAGAGGAGGGCAGTTGGGGGCACCCAGGCTTGCAGGGGAGGATAGTTGGGTTCAACCAGGCCTGCAGGGGAGGGCAGTGGGTGGGACCAAGCCTGCAGGGGAGGGCAATTCAGGGCAACCAGGCCTGCAAAGGAGTGCAATTGGGGCTGATTGGGCCAGCAGGGAGCAGTTAGGTGTTCATCATGCCAACAGGGGAGTGGTTAGGTGTCAGTCAGGCTAGGGGAGTGGTTAGAGGGCTATCAGGCTGGCAGGAAGACTACTTAGGTGCAGTGAGGCAGTCAGGAAGGCGAGTGTTTACAAGCCAGCAGTCCCGGATTGTGAGAGAGATGTTCGACTGATTGGGTCTAAACTGGCAGTCAGACATCCCCTGAGGGTTCCCAGATTGGAGAGGGTACAGGCTGGGCTGAGGGACAATCCCCAGTTTACGCATTTCATGTACCAGGCCTCTAGTATTTTATAAAGTTTTCAAAAATAATATCCATATCAGTGGTTTACTGTTACTTATTCTAGTATGTTTTAATAGCTACAATAGTGAAGATTTTCAAATTATATAGTTGTTTTAGTTGAGGCAATACTTTTAATCATTTTATCTGAAATTTTTTGTTTTGACATACTAAACATTTCAGAAATGTAAATTATGAATAGCTACTACATATCTCACCTCTCTGGAATGCAGTAAAAAGCTACATAACCCACAGGGCAGAAAATGTTTAAGAAATGTTTTAATAAAAAAAAAAAAATGAACACACTGCATTTTTTAAAACTATAGCAAAGAAGCAGCAATCAAGTTTAAAAGTTGCTTGAATTTTCTTTTGTCACACACTTATTAGTAGTAACTTAGCAGACATGATTTGAGTATTCAGAAATTTTTCAAATGGAATGTCAGAAGAGTCACTAAGATGTAGATATAGTTCTGCAATGTCAATCCAGCCCATGGAACCAGGTAGAGCTTGCTTTAATAATAGAAGCAGAAAGAATTGGTGGTGTGTACACCCAATTAAGTTGAGGTCAAATTATTGATATAATTTCATGTAATTACTAAGTTGCTTTGAATGCAGGTTACACTTTGGACTGCGTATTATTTATTATATTTCATTGTTTAGTTCCTCATTGGACTTGTTATATTAGCCTAAAAACTGCCTTTTGTTACATTTTATTATACTTGAGTGTGACATGTCATTAAATTACATTTTCTTTAAGGCAAATAAAGCATGGCTAAATCTTAAATTCTGCCCTTTCCCATAATTTTATTATTTTTGTTGTAAGAAAATTAAAATATAGATCATCAGCTATAACCTTAACAAAGTAAATCCTTAAAAAAGTGATTTTAAAAAATGAATGGATGGTAAAGAAACATATCTTCATGAGTGATTCAGTTAGTTTTTTCACATTTTGAGGCAATTCAATTAAATAATATAGATATTGTGATGTCTCTGGATTAAGTCTTGAAAACTTAAATACGAGGGCGCTTGACAAGGGCCTTCTGTGATATTTATTTTTGAGACTCTTCAAATTGTGGGAACCCTATCACGACCCACATGATTAGGGCCCACTCAGAGTCCAGTTTCTGGAGGAGACCGCACACTAAATTGAATAGAGACTAGAAAAGAGTTAATTTGGGACAAATGGGCGGCCTTCGGGAGTGGGTAGACTACCACTAGGCTCTGCCTTGCTATCCCTTTTATAGAGGCTATGGAATACACCCATTATTTTTAAGCAGCTTTGGGAAATACCCATAGCCCTTAGGCAGGTAATAAGTGGATTATCATATCTGTGATGATTTACATGATTACAAGATGGGGAAGTTGCCTCAGTTACCATTGTCTCAATTAGATAGGGAATGGTTGGCTCTGACCTTTCAGAGTTTCAAGGTTGACCAGCCTCTTTCTATTAGTGAGACAGTGATTGGTTTCTGGCATCAAATCTTGTGACCTATTGATTGCGCTGAAATCTTTACATGAAAATCTGGGTGGTATGTTAAGCCTAGGACATAAATGTCCTTGAGTTGTTTTACATGTGCTCCTTCAACCTCTAGATCTGACCTTGCTCTCTCTCATTGAAGATTGCCAATGCAGGATTTGTCATAGAAGCAGAAGATAATAGAGTGCTCACTGAAAATCAAGTGAGGGACTTCTATAGGCAAAAATCAGAGCAGGTAAGAAAGTTTAACAAAAACCCCACTGTGTTTTCAAATAAAGCACATTCTTACAGGCTTTAGATCCTCATCATAGAAAAGCAAATGCATAAGTGTAACCAACCAAATAAGCTCCTGGTCCCCCTGTTTTGTCCATAGCAGGGTAATACCAGAGATGGTGACTCTGGAAAAATCTCCAGCAGTCAATCAAAAGTGGGTGATCTGATTGTGTTCTTTTGGAGTAAAGGCCTCATTACCTTATGTCCTCTAAGACTTGCTGCATGAACCTGGAAGTAAATATCCAGGAATTTCCTGTAGATTTTTATCCCAGGTTGAAGGCTACTTGTCATGCACTTTCCAGGAAAGCTTTAATTCTTTCTGTACCCAAACTTTCTCTCAAGCTATTTTTTAATTCTGTCTTGCTTGGCGGAATATGATACAGGCAGTGCCATGTATTGGCAAGTGCACTGGCTTATGAGTGGGGAGAAATAGCTTCTACAAGTTGACTGTCCAATATGGTAGCCATTAGATACATTAAATATGTTAAATAAAAATTAATAAAAATACAGGCCCAGTTGCACTAGCCACCTATGTTGCAGAGCACAGAACATGTTTGTCATCATGGAGAAAGTCCTACTGCACTGCACTTTGTAAACTAGCTGCACCACTCTAAGCATCTCTTTAAGCCCCAATAAAGGATTAGACTAGCAATGTCAGCATGACCTGGGAGCTTTGGAGAAAATCCAATTCCTGGGACCCACCCTAAGTCTACTGCATCATCAACTCTGGGATTGGACTCCAGAAACTTGTGTTTACATAACAAGCCCTTCAGATGAGTTGGAAACCTCCTAGAGTTTGAGAATAGTTATTAGACTATCTTTAAGATCAATCCCTGCTGGCCTTGAACTTTAATCCTTGAAAGATGTGTCTGTTAACTGGACCTTTATTAGGATGCCATTCCCTTGCCCAGTGATCTTGAAGGAGAAGGTGTTACTTGACTTAGGTAGTAGCTGCCATGTTAGCTTATCCATTTCAGGAGCCTGAACAGTTTATCATTTTATTTTGTAGCCTGATTTTGAAGAGTTTGTCTCATTAATGACAACTAGCCTAAGCTGTGTTCTAGTTGTATCTCGAAAGAAGAAACAAGAATTTTTCTGGGAAGAAGAAATTATAACTGAACCTGAGACTGAACCACAAGAACCACCTGAGGATCAACCTGAGATGGACACACCTCCAGTAGTGAAGAAAAAGTGGGACAGGTAGCTCAAGACCAAGAACTTATGATTTGCAAGGTCTTAGTAGGTAATGAAAAGTGATGTCCAAATATCTCAAGATATTTGCATGCCCATATGCATGCACACAAGTCCTTTGGTTGATCTCTTCCCCTTTACCCCCACCCTCCCCTACTTTCCCTCTGAGTTTTGAAAGTCTGTTTGGTGCTTCTCTTTCTCTGAGTCTGTTTTTGTTTCTCAGTCTATGTTGTTCATCATTTCCTCTAGATGTGTGAGAATAAATACATTTTTATTGATTTCAGAGAGTATAGGAGTGGGAGAGAGAGATAGAAACATCACTGAGAGAGAACCATTGATCAGCTGCCTCCTGCACACCCTCTACTGGGGATCAAACCCACAACCCAGGCATATGCCCTTGACTGAAATTGAACCTGGGTCCCTTCAGTCTGCAGGCCTACACTCTATCCACTGAACCAAACCAGCTAGGGCAACAATTGTTTTTTAAAAGAAGATTTCACCACACATTTTTTAGTATAATAAAATTGGAACTAAACAATAAAAGGAGAATCAAAGTATCTTATCTATATGAAAATACAAAGTATGCTCCTACAAAAACCTTGGATTCAAAGACAAAATTAGAAGAAAAAATAGAAACTATCTGAAAATCTGTACCCAGAGGAAAGAAAAAGGTTTTTAAATATTTCTTTTTTTTTTTTTTACCCTCTCATGAAGTCAAACATACATAATTTCATTTAATTGATCTTTGAATTGGGTCAACAAAAAGTTGAATTAATACTTTATTTATTTATGTATCCTTCTGTTTATTTCATTAATTAATTAATTAATTAGTTTTATTTATTTTTAATTATTTATTGTTGAAAGTATTACATGTCCCCTTTCCCCCATTGTTGTCTCTCAGCCTATGCCTGCACCCCTTTGTCTGTGTCCATTGGATATGTTTATATGCATACAAGTTCTTTGGTTGATCTCTTATCCCACTCACTCTCTCCTGCCTTCCGTCTGAGATTTGACTGTCTGTCTGATGATTCTGTCTCTGGATCTATTTTTGTTCATCAGTTTATGTTGTCCATTATATTCCACAAATGAGTGAGATCATGTGATACATATCTTTCTCTGACTGGCTTATATTTTTGATGTGATAGAGAAATGCAATTTATCTTTATGTGAAATTAGATTTTTATTTGTTTTACTAAACTCTGAATTATTTGTAAACATATTATCAGTTTTAATTTTCTGTCATGGCTATTAAACTTCATCTTATAATCTTAAATTATATTTTGAATTTCAGCACTTTAGAAGAATATCTGGATAAAGAAAATATACATCAGTTTTGTGATGTTGAAGAGGATGAAGAAAATGTTCATAAGTTTATTGATATCTTCTTCCCTGATTTCAAAAACATAAAATTAGAAAAGATACTGGCATTACTTCGACCAGATCTCTTTCAAGCAAAGAAAGGTAAGAAATAAGGTACAAATTGTTTATTTCATAAATGGATTTGAATAAACCCTAGTGTAATTACACTAAAATATATTATTTTAGGAGTTAACTTTGAAGAAAAAAAATGTAAAGTAAGAAATTTAGTTAATATTAATTTACGAATTTTCAATAATAAATCAATTTGCAGTAAAGAGTTTTACAAAGTATTTTCCAGCTTATAAATGTGTGAGAGAAGATTTTAACGTGGCAGGGATTATTATATAATAAAAATTGGCAGTGTTCATTTCTGAAATGCCTTAATTCAAAGCTTGAGTCAACCCCTCATTACTAGTATGATTTGTAAAAGATGTCTGCCCACCTATGCTTAGGCCACCACTGATTTTTTTGGTGTCTCTAGTAGATTAGTTTTGCCTTTTCCAGAAGGTCAAAGAGTTGAAATCATATAGTATGTAGCCTCTTCTTTTACTTAATATGAATTTCAGACTCTGCCATATCTTTTAAAAAATATTTTATTGATTTTTTACAGAGAGGAAGAGAGAGGGATAGAGAGAAACATCAAAGAGAGAGAAACATCAATCAGCTGCCTCCTGCACAACACCCCCCCCCCGCCCCCCCACCGGGGATGTGCCCCACAACCAAGGCACATACCCTTGACCAGAATCAAACCTGGGACCCTTCAGTCCACAGACAGACACTCTATCCACTGAGCCAAACAGGTTTTGGCAGATTCTGCCATATCTTTCTGTGACCCGATAGCTCATTTCCTTTTGTTGCTGAATAATATGCCGTTTTATAGATGCACCAAAGTTTTTCCACTTACCTATTGAAGGACATCTTTGTAGCTTTCAGTTTTTGGTAATCATGAATAAAGCTGAAATAGTCATTAATATGTGATTTTTTGCATGTGTAGACATAAGTTTTCACCTCAGCAGGGTAAATACTTAGGAGCCTGAATACTGGATGATATGGTTAAATTATGTTTAGCTTTGTAAGAAACTCTCAAATGCCTTCTAAAGTGGCTTTTATCGTTTTCAATTCTAACCAGCAAGTAATGAGAGTTTCTGTTGCTGTGCAGGTGGTTGTTTAGATTTTTTTCTATTCTAATAAGTATGTAATGGTATCTCATTGTTGTCTTAATTCACAATTGTGTAATGACATATGGTACTGAGCATCTTTTCATATGCTAACTTCTATTTCTATATCTTCTTTGGTGAGATGTCTCTTCAGATATTTTCCCCATTTTTTAATGGAGTTATTTGTTTACCTGTTGTTGAATTGTGAGTTTTTTGCTTATTGTGAATACACATCCTTTAAATACCTGTAGTTTGCAAAGATTTTTCTAGGTTTTGGGCTCTGCGTCTTTTAAACAGTGTCTTTTACTGCAAAGTTTCTGGTTTTTTTTTTATTATTAAATATATTTTATTGATTTTGTACAGAGAGGAAGAGAGATAGAGAGTCAGAAACATCGATGAGAGAGAGTCATTGATCAGCTGCCTCTTGCACACCTCCTATTGGGGATATGCCTGCAACCAAGGTACATGCCCTTGACCAGAATCGAACCCGGGACCCCTCAGTCCCCAAGCCGATGCTCTATCCATTGAGCCAAACCGGTTTTGGCAAGTTTCTGTTTTTAATATAGTCCAACTTGTCAGGTATTTTTATTGCTCTTTTAGTGTTTAAATTAAAAAATAAATTTAAACACTGAAACGTTCTCAGAATTTCCTTCTCTGTTATCTTTCAGAAAGTTTGTAGGTTGGAATTTTACATTTTGGACTATACCCCATTTCAGTTAATTTTTGTAAAAGATATAAGGTCTATGCCTAGATTAATTTTTTTGTATGTGTATGTCCAATTGTTCCAGCACCATTTGTGGAAAAGACTATCATTGCACCACTGTATTATCTTTGCTTACTAGTATTTGTCACACTTGAGTTGACATATTCATGTGGGTATATTTCCGGGTTCTCTATTCAGTTCCATTGATCTATGTGTCTTAATTTGCCTATCTCTCATAACTTGATTATAGTAGTATTATAAATGTTTTTAATTTATTTTTTATATTTATTTATTTATTTATTTATTTATTTATTTATTTATTTATTTTAGAAAGAGAGGAAGGGAGGAGAGAGAAAAAAACAAACAAAACAAAACATTGATGTGAGAGAGAAACACCTCAGCTGCCTCCTGAACACTCCCAAATGGGGATCGAGCCTGCAACCTGGGCATGTATTCTGACTGGTGACCTTTGGGCTCATGGGATGATGCTCTACCTACCACCTGAGCCACTGTGTCAGAGCTTATGGTAGTCTCATAGTCAATCTTGAAGTGAGTAGTTATCAGTCCTCAAAAATTGTTTTTGTCTTTCAATATTGAGTTGGTTATTCTGGGTTTTTGTCTTTCCATATAAACTTTAGCATCAGTTCTTCAATATCCATATCCACAAAATAACTTGTGGACACATCAGTTGGTTGCCTTTCACACATGCCTGAGGCACGGAATCAAGCTGGCCACTGAGGTACCTGCCCTTATCCAGAACTGAACCCATGACCCTTAGGCCATGGGCCAACACTCTATCCACTGAGTCAAACTGTCTAGGAGGCATTTTTGTGTGCCAATGAAAATCCTATTGTTTTAAATTTCAAATTCAAGTGTCATTGTTATTATATAGGAAAGTCATTTACTTTTGTGCTTAATTGTAACTTGCAATTTTGCTATAATAGTCTCTTATTAGTTTGAGGAGTTTTGTTGTTGTTTCTTTGGGTTTTCTACATAGACAATCACATCATCTATGAACAAGGACAGTTTTATTTTCTCCTTCCCTATCTGTATACACTTTATTTTATTTTCTTGTGTTATTTCATTAACTAGGTTTTCCAGTTTGATGTCAATAGGAGTAGTGAGAGGTGAGAGCTCTGCCTTGATGCCAGTCTTAGAGAGAAAGCATATAGTATAGAAAATATTTGCTAATGAGAAACTTCAGTGTGTGTGTGTGTGTGTGTGTGTGTGTGTGTATGTATGATTCTCATGTCATGTAAAATTGGAAATACCATTATAATTTAATATGTTAAGAATACTGTTCACCTTAAGTTAAAATCTAATGAGGTATTTTTCAAATTTCTAGATTTCATAAGAGAATAAAAATTGCATTCTATACACTCATGATAATATATTCTATATCATGTATATAACCAATAACCTAGCAATTTAAAACTTTTCATTTAGAGGATGTTTTGAGTATTATTCTAAATGAAGGCTTTCTTATACTGATGCAAAGACAAGTGGTGTTATCAGAAGAAGAGGCACGAAAACTGTGCAAGGAATACGAAAATGAAGATTATTTTGAAAATGTGATAAGATACATGACCAGGTAAAATAAATTTCAGGTGTAGAAAGCACAGTCTAGTTTATTTTTGAATAATTTAAATCTCCTCTTAACCTTTCTTTTTGCACAAGTTGCCAAGCCTCTCCATTTTGTAAACAAGTGCTGAGTCTGCTTTTTGAGCCAGTCTCCCTCCCATGTCGATTCTCTGCTCAACTGTCTGTCTTGTCTAGTCCTCCTGGACTGTTAGTGGAGCAATGGCAATATCCGAGGTGAAGTTGCTGGAATCCAGTTGAGTTAAATGCCAGAAATCCAGGGTGTGCAGCATCATCAATTCCAAGCAGAGAACTGATTGATGCTCAAGGGCTTTGGGAATCCTAAGGAGCTAGGAGAGGCATGAGAAGCTAGAAATCCGTCAGGTTCCTAAAAGTGTCAGTGAAGTAGCAGCTGGGGCAGAAATCCAGCAAGAGGATGTAGCTCAGCAGGAGAGGAGGAACCATGTAGGAACCATTCTATTTGGGCCAAGGCCCCCTTTCCCCTTTTGTTTCTCTGCTTCCATCCTTTTATAAATATGCTCTTAATAATATACCAATGGAAATTAATTTTAGATTTGATAAAAGGTTTATCTTGACTTTTTTGGTAGTCTATTTAACAAATACACTTGTATAATCTACATATAATTAGCTACTGAGTCAGATTTTCATTAACTTTGTTTTTAATTTTCTAACAGTGGTCCATCTCTAGCTCTTGTTTTAGTAAGAGAAAATGGTTTACAACACTGGAAAGAGTTAATTGGACCAAGTACCGTTCAAGAAGCTAAACAATCTCTTCTAAAAAGGTTGGATTCATATCATAGGTCCCAAACTGTTTTTCATAGGAGCCATTATAATTCCCTTTTAGATGTGGTATATAGGAACCACAACTATATGTATGGCGGTTCTCAGGGTAGCTAAACTTCCTGGGTCAGAGTGGACTGGAAGCATAGCCCATTGCCAACAAGAGTCCTGCCAAGGTTTTGCAAGAGAAGGCTGCAGGCTGCTTGGTTTGGAGCTGGGGAGTAAGTGATGGGTACCCAGGCAAAAGGCCAACTCTTGGCAGAAATTGCAACCCCTCCACTATTTTGGAGAGATTCTTTTGAGAAGAATGTGATGGCAGCTTTAGGTTCTTTAGTGGATCATAAACATTTCAAAACAATTATGGCTGACTTAATACGTAGTCTCTACTTTGGCAGGAGCCATTACTAAGTTAGTCAACTAAACTTTGCAGTCAACTTAACACATGGTGTGCTACCTCGCACATAGGGAGTACTCTGTAAATATTTTCTACCTTAGCTGTTAGGCTTGGTATCACCTGAGGGAGGTGGATAGTATCTCAGGCATCTACATTCTTGGGAGGTAGGTATGGAAACGAACTGAATTGTGATGTGCTTGAATTCTCTATGCCAGATGCAGAGCAGGATTCAACACAGGGAAGAAAGGCTCTCAGTTCACGTGAGCAAGAATAGAGGTGCTCTACCGGGCACAGCAAACTAGACACATTTGTTTCCGCAATAACCACACTTATGAAACCTCATTTAAACCTAAATATGGAAATAATTTTTTTTTTTTTGGGGGGGAGCACGTTATCTTGAGGCTGCTTGTCGTGAATGGGCACCTTTTATCCCCTGTTTAGCCCTACTCACTTATGTCTTTGCTGCTGAACCAGAAAATAACTATCAACGATAATATGGGTTGAACACTGTCAGTAGTGTGAGCACAGTGTCATAGATATTCTGAATGAAATGCTGCCTGGAATTGAATGCATGGCATTAGAGAGAGAGAGGAACTACTCTCAACACAAAGCCTGTGCCTGCAGGCACACTCTTCTAGCAATTGTGGTCCCAGGTGTGGAGGGAGAGCACCAGCAGAGACATTCCTCCAGGTGGAAGCACCCACTGACTGCCTCTCCCACTCCACTGGTGCTGTGAGGATTCCCATCCAGAGCCCTAGGATCCCTATCTTGCCACAACTAATCCTGACCTTTCTATTGGAATGGTTCCCCTTTTCCAGTTTCATTGGTTCCACCCAGGTCTTTCAGGTTGTTTGAGAGATAACTGTCAACAGAGCTCTGTCCCTTTTCTGCACCCAAGGATCAGATTTTGCACTCTGCAGTGCTTCATCTGAAATATGGTCACTTTCATAAAAGATAAATATAGTAACCCCTCCATGCTATCCTTACACATGCACAAACTCACACTTACAAATGTATATACATTTTTTCCAATAATCATGTCCAACAGTGTAACAGAGGGGCTGGTTGTAATCCTCTTCTTTGAATGGAATAAGTGCAGGTGATAATTTAAGCTGTTTTGTCAACCATTGTCCAAATTCCTCATCCCTGGCTAGCACAGGCTTCAGGGAACTTAGGGCATGAGTATAAGGGTGAGAGAATAGTCAAAGTCTGAGTGGGAAGGGCAAGAATCAAGGCCCACATGGGAAGGTCATGTTGGATAAATAAAAAATGGGTCACTGAAACCAGAGAGGTACAAAGAGAGTCTTGAAGCTGAAGCTAGAAAGCCAGGTTTCTAGTGATGTGGCTTTATTAAATATACAGGATTCAGAGAAACCAAGCTGGCGGTGTAGGTGAGCAGCTGGTCTGCTGCTCCCACAATTTAAAAATTAAAACTAATATAAAGGACATCTATCATCCAAAACCATGGGAACGTTGGCTGAAAGAGAAAGGAGTGCAAGTGCTGAAAAGCTGAGGAGCCTAGGTATGGAGGCAGGTGAATTGGGCTGGTGGCGAATTGGGCTGGTGGCAGGAGACTGGGCATGCGGTTTTTCTTTTCAACCAGAAAGGAAACAAGCTCCCTATCACTTTGAAATTAAGTTTTTGGGGTCACGTGGGGGACCCAGATGCCTATTGGGAGAAGCTGAGGGCGACTCTTGCAGAGGTGCAGGCAGCAATCATTGTTTACTGAGCTGGATCACAGGGAAGTGGGGACTTGGAAAAGTGGAAGGAGTGGGGGCGTTGGCTTGGATAGCCGTTGCTGTTAGCCATGCCCCAACCTAGTGAAGTTCTGAGACCCCACCCCACCCTGAGGCCCCGCCCCACCTTGAGACCCTGCCCTGAGGCCCAGCCTGCAGATTCTACAGACCCACCCAGGCACCTCACAGCTGCTTTTGCATATAAATGGCTGGTATTGTGGCAGCTTAATGAAATAAACTGCAGCTCCAGCCACAAAACCGCCAAGTCCCAAGCAAATGAACTGGACCCCATTGGTGATCCAGAAGCCAGTGTTCCTAGTGGTCAGTTTCAACCCCTCACACCCCTAAGTGACACATTCGGGAGACAGACTCAGTGAGCACCAAAGCCCCACTGAAATAAACCTTGTCTCCAGTGCAGCAGTTCTTCCTTTATAGACAGAGCGGGTCCTCACAGACAATTGGCCTGGAGATCAATTCCTCCCAGAGTACCAACAGCAAACAAGGCTTAATTATACCAAGACTTTGCACTCAGCTCACAAAGGGATATACCAAAAGTGACCAGGTGATTGGGGAAGCTGAACTACTGGACCCTATAGGTCACCTACCACACAAAGCCACTCCATCAGCCAAAATGAGGATACACAGAAACATGTCACGAATGGGAAAGATGAAGGAAAGTAAACTACTGGACGACACATAGTTCAGAATCACATTTAAAGATTACTCAAGAATCTTCTAAAAACTTTTGAGAAACTTGATGAGACCTCCAAGAAGCTTGGTGAGACCTTCTAGGACAGTAAAGAGAATACCAAAAAAATGGAAAAAGACCAATCAGAAATTAAGCATACAATCTCTGAAATAAAGAATATACAGAAACTCAACTATAGATCAATGTACCCCAAGAATCAAACCAAAGATCTGGAATATAAGGAAGAAAAAAATCACCCAACCAGAGAGGCAGAAAGAAAGAAGAATCCAAAAGTGTGAGGATAGTGTAAGGAGCCTCTGGGACGGCTTAAAGCATACCAACATCCGGATTTTTGGGGTGCCAGAGGAGAGCGAGCAGGATATTGAAGGCTTAATGGAAGAAATAATGACAGAAAACTCTTCCTACCTGGTAAAAGAAATAGATTTACAGATCCCCAAACAAGAGGAATCCAAGGAGGGACATACCAAGAAACATCATAATTAAAATGCCAAGGGCAAAAGACAAAGAGAGAATCTTGCAAGCAGCAACAGAAAAACAGCTAGCTACCTACAAGGGAGTACCCATAGTACTGTCAGCTGATTTCTCAACAGAAATTATGCAGGCCAGAAGGGAGTGGCAAGAAATATTCAAAATGATGAACAATAAGAACCTACAACCAAGATTACTCTACCCAGCAAAGCTATCATTCAGAATTGAAGGTCAGATAAAGAGCTTCATAGACAAGAAAAAGTTAAAGGAGTTCATCAACACCAAACCAGAATTACATGAAATGCTGAAGGGTATTCTTTAAGGAGAGGAAGAAGAAGAAAAAAGTAAAGGTAAAAATTATGAACAACAAAAAGACATAAAATATATACCGTATTTTTCAGACCATAAGACGCTCCGGACCATAAGACGCACCAGTTTTTAGAGAAGGGAAATGAAGAAAAAAAGATTCTGAAACAAACATTCATTTCCTTGAATGTTTGGTAAAACTCTCCTGTGAGAGAGTTTTTGCATCTCTTGGATAATTAGTGTCCTAAAATATTTTATGTGCATTAAAACCCAACATCACAGTCATAAACACATGTAATCAACCCTGTAAAGTAAACAGCAGCATTTAGAACCATTTTAGAGCCGGGCAAGCACACAGAGACCACACAGCCGGGCAAGTAAAAAAACTTTTTTTTTTAAAGTATATGTGTAGGCTATATTTGGACCATAAGATGCAGGGACTTTTTCCCCCCACTTCTGGGGGAAAAAGTGTGTCTTATGGTCCGAAAAATACGGTACTTACAGTACCAACAAGTGAACCTAAAAATCAAATGAATAAAAAACCTGAAGAACAAAGTGGACTAGTGAATATAATAGAATCAGGGACATAGAAAGGGATTGGACTAACAATTCTCAGGGGGAAGGGAGTCTGAGGCGTGAGGGAAGAGATTGGACAAGAATCTTACACCTATGGATGAAGACAGGGGCGAGGGGTAAGGGCATAGGGTAGAGTTGGGGATCAGGTGGAGGGGAGCTATGGGGAAAGTGGGGGGAAAGAGGAACACCTGTAATAATCTGAACAATAAAGATTTATTAAAAAAAAAAATAAATAAATAAATAAACAAGATTCACCATCACTGGATTTTGATGATTAGCTGCTCAAAAGTGTTTGTAAAAGGCAGAAAATACAATGAACAGCATGCATCTCCTCTGTTAAAGTATACATAGATAGATACATACATACATAGACATATAAAGACAGAAAAAAAGGGAAACAAAAAACATCAAGGAACAATTGATTTAAGAGATATATATTTATCTATTGTACAGAAACAGAACCAGACTAATTATTTAACACAACATGAATTGTCCAGGACCATCAGGAGAGGGAGAGAGAGAAAGACCAATGATGAGAATTGATTAGTTGCCTCCTGCAATGCCCCCTAATGAGGATTGAGCCCAAAACCTGGTCATGTGGCCTTGGCTGGAATTGAACCTGGGACCCTTCAATCCACAAGCTGATGCTTTATCTACTGAGCCAAACCAGCTAGGGCACTACTGATTCTTTTTATTTATTTATTTATTTATTAAATTATTATCTGTGTACATATTTTAACATTGCCCCCCCTCCCATACATACCTTCCCTCCCCAGAGTTTTATGTCCATTGGTTGTACTTATATGCATGTATACAAGTCCTTCGGTTGATCTGTTATCTCCCCCAGATCTCCCTACCCTACCTGCTGTAATTTGACAATCTGCTTATTGCTTTACTGTCTCTATATCTATCTTTTGGTTCATCAGTTTATAATGTTCTTTAATATCCATAAATGAGTGAGGTCATGTGGTGTTTCTCTTTCATTGACTGGCTTATTTCACTCAGCATGATGTTCTCCACTTCCATCCAGGTTGTAGCAAATGATGAGAATTCCTTCTTTTTAATGGCAGCATAGTATTCCATTGTGTAGATGTACCATGATTTTTTTAATCCAATCATCTGCTGACAGGCACTTAGGCTATTTTCAGATTCTAGCTATTGTAGATTGTGCTGCTATGAACATAGGGGTGCATATATCCTTTCTGATTGGTGTTTCTAGTTTCTTGGGATATATTCCTAGGTGTGGGATCACTGGGTCAAATGGGAGTTCCATATTCAGTTTTTTGAGGAAACTCCACACTGTTCTCCACAGTGGTTGCACCAGTCTGCATTCCCACCAGCAGCGCATGAGGGTTCTTTTTTCTCCGCAACCTCACCAACACTTGTCGTTTGTTGATTTGTTGATGTTGGCCATTCTGACAGGTGTGAGATGATACTGCATTGTTATTTTGATTTGCATCTCTTGGATAATTAGTGACTTAGAGCATGTTTTCATGTGCATTTTGGCCTTCCTTCTGTCTTCTTTTGAAAATATTCTATTTAGGTCCATTGCCCATTTTTTAATTGGATCATTCATCTCCCTTTAATTTAGTTGTATAAGCTGTCTGTAGATGTTGGAGGTTAAACCTTTATCAGTGGTAACATTTGCAAATATGTTCTTCCACACAGTGGGCTTTCTTGTTGTTTTGTTGATGGTTTCTTTTGCTGTAAAAAAGCTTTTTATTTTGATGTAGTCCCATTTGTTTATTTTCTCTTTAGCTTCCATTGCCCTAGGAGCAGTATCAGTGAAGAAGTTCTTTTGGCATGTGTCTGAGATTTTGCTGCCTGTGGATGCTTCTAGTATTTTTATGGTTTCCCTTCTGATGTTTAAGTCCTGTATCCATTTTGAGTTTGTTTTTGTGTATGGTGTAAGTTGGTGATCTAGTTTCATTCTTTTGCATGTATCTGTCCAATTTTCCCAACACCATTTATTGAAGAGACTGTCTTGACTCCATTGTATATTCGTGCCTCCATTGTCAAATATTAATTGAGCATAGTGATTTGGGTTATATCTGGGTTCTCGATTCGATTCCATTGATCTATATGTCTGTTCTTGTGCCAGTACCAGGCTGTTTTGAGAACAGTGGCTTTGTAATACAGTTTGAAGTCTGGTATTGAGATTCCTCCTACTTTACTCTTCTTTCTCAGGATTGCTGTGGCTATTCAGGGTCTTTTATTGTTCCAAATGAACTTTAGGAGAGTTCTTTCTAGGCCAGTGAAATATGCCGTTGGTATTTTAATGGGGAGTGCATTGAACCTATAGATTGCTTTAGGAAGTATGGACATTTTGATGATGTTGATTCTACCAATCCATGAACATGGTATGTTCTTCCATCTCTTTACATCTTCCTCTACCTTTTTTTTCAGTGTTGTGTAGTTTTCTGCATATAGGTCCTTTACTTCCTTGGTTAAATTTATTCCTAGGTATCTTAACTTTTTTTGTGCGATGGTAAATGGAATTGCTTTTTTAGTCTCTGTTTCTGTAATTTCATTGTTGGTGTACAGAAATGCCATGGATTTCTTGGTGTTAATTTTGTATCCTGCTACATTGCCAAATTCATTTATTAAGTCAGTTAGTTTTTTAATGGAGTCTTTTTTTTTTATTTTTTTATGTACAATATCATGTCATCTGCAAATAAGGATAACTTTACTTCTTCTCTTCCAATTTGGATGCCTTTTATTTCCTCTTCTTCTCTAATTGCAATGGCTAGTACTTCCAGTATTTTGTCATTAGTACTGGAGTGGCAATAGTGGGCATCCCTGTCTTGTTCCTGTTCTTAGAGGGAATGGTTTTAGTTTTTGCCCATTGAGTATGATGTTGGCTGTGGGTTTCTCATATATAGCTTTTATTATGTTGAGGTATGATCCTTGTACTCCCACCTTGTTGAGAGTTTTTATCAGGAAAGGGTGTTGGATTTTATCAAATGCTTTTTCTGCATCAATTGATATGACTATATGATTTTTATCTTTCAATTTGTTTATGTGATATATCACATTTATTGATTTGTGGATATTGTACCATCCTTGCATTCCTGGAATAAATCCTACTTGATCATGGTGTATGATCTTTGTGATGTTCTGCTGGAGCTGATTTGCTAGAATTTTGTTGAGGATTTTGGCATCTATGTTCATGAGGGATATTGGCCTGTAATTCTCTTTCATTGAGTTGTCTTTATCTGGTTTTGGTATTGGGGTGATGCTGGCTTCATAGAAGGAGTTTGGAAGTGTTCCTTCCTCTTGAATTTTTTGGAATAGTCTGAGGAGGATATCTTTTAGTTCTTCCTTGAATGTTTGGTAAAACTCTCCTGTGAAGCCATCTGGCCCTGGATTTTTGTTTGCTGGAAGCTTTTTGATGACTGTTTCAATTTCTTCCCAAGTCACTGCTCTATTGAGATTTTTAGATTCTTTCTGATTGAGTTTTGGAAGTTTGTATTTTTCTAGGAATATGTCCATTTCCTCCAGGTTGTTCAGTTTGTTGGAATAGAGTTGTTCATAGTATTTTGTAACAATCCTTTGTATTTCGGTGGGGTATGTTGTTATTCACCTCTTTCATTCCTGATTTTGTTTATTTGAGTCCTCTCTCTTTGTTTCTTGGTTAGCCTGGCTAGAGGTTCATCTATCTTGTTTATCCTTTCAAAGAACCAGCTCTTGGTTTTGTTGATCTTATGCATTGTTTCTTTGGTCTCTATGTCGTTTATCTGTGCTCTGATTTTTGTTATTTCCTTCCTTCTGCTTACACTGTGCTTTTCTTGCTCTTTTTCTAACTCTTTGAGTTGTAGAGTTAGATAATTTGTTACCATTTTTTCTTGTTTTTTACAATAGGCTTGTAGGGATATGAACTTCCTTCTCAAAACTGCTTTTGCTGTGTCCCATAGATTTTGGATTGTTGTGTTTTCATTGTCATTTGTTTTCAGGATGTTTTTAATTTCTTCCTTGATTTCTCTGGTAACCCAGTCCTTGTTTAATAACATGCTGTTTAGTCTCCATGTGTTTGATTTCTTTGGGTTATTTTTATTGTAGTTAATTTCCAGTTTTATGCCACTATGATCTGAGAAGATGCTTGATATAATTTCTATCTTCTTGAACTTGAAGAGATTTGCCTATGTCCCAAAATGTGGTCTGTCTTTGAGAATGTCCCATGTGCACTTGAGAAGAATGTATATTCTGTGGCTTTGGGTGGAATGTTCTGAAGATGTCAATTAATTCCATCTGGTCTAGTGAGTCATTTAGGATTGATATTTCTTTGCTGATTTTTTGTTTAGATGATTTGTCCAAGGGTGACAGTGGGGTATTAAAATCTCCTACTATGATTGCATTGCTATTAATCTCTCCCTTAATGTCCTCCAGCAGTTTTTTTTTTTTAAAATATATTTGGGTGCTCCCATATTGGGTGCATATATATTTACCAGGGTTATTTCTTCTTGTTGGATTGTTCCCTTTAGTATTATGAAGTGGCCTTCATTATCTCTTGTTATGTTCTTCTCTCTGAGATCTAATTTGTCAGATATAAGTATTGCTACCTCAGCTTTTTTTCTAATTCCATTCGCCTGGTAAACCTTTTTCCATCCCTTTACCCTCAGTCTGTGTGAGTCCTTTTTTTTTTTTTTTTTTAGGTGAGTTTCTTGTAGACAACAGATATATGGGTCTTGTTTTCTGTTACCCACTACTGATTCTTTATACATGAAGTTGTCCTGTAGATTCCTATTTTGTTGCTTCTCTTGCTTCCTTGGAAGGTTCCATTCATTTTCTCCTTGATTTAAAGTTTAGTTTGGAATCTTTGGTATAGAGTCAAATGCTAATAGTGTTTGATACTATTTAGTGATCAGGATTCTATAGATCATGCTTTGTCACTGTGTTAGGGCATCCATTCCTCCATTCACAGTTATCTGTCAATCTTCATTATCAGGATTATTTAAATGTCTATACCCTCTCTCCCTCCCTCCCTTCCTTTTACTTATGTCTTTATTTTCTTTCTTTCTAAAGACTATTACATCCTTGGAATAAAGTAGTATTCCCAGACCACTCTGTAATTAATTACTTTTTAACTATGCCTAGATCAGGGATGAGTTGCTTTTGCTTGATAATTTTGAACAATTTATATAAATACTGTTATATTGTACTAATGTTATGTTATGTTATGTTATGTTATGTTATGTTGTTATACCATAACTGTTTTTAACTTGTTTTCTTTTCCAAAGTTTGTGTGTACAATTTGCAATGGGAAGTTTGCCTATCAACCAGTTATATGGAAGTGATTCATTAGAAGCTGCTGAGAGGGACATCCAGTATTTCTTTCCTCCTCAAAAAACTTTAGCACTGATTAAACCTCACGTAACACCTGAACAAAGAGGTAAATATTTAAAAATGAAAGCCACTGTATACAATTTCTTCAAATTTAGTGAAAAATTTTCAAACTACAGGAAAGTTGAAGGAATAATGCCAATTCTTAATATAGTCAGAATATAGCCCCCCAAGTTTAAGCTGTGGGTGGAACTTTGACAAGATTTACATTATTTAATTCCCTCAATAGTTTCCTTCTACTTCAGGAAGAAGAGTTCAGATTGGCTCTAATCTTCAATTTCAATCTAGCAAGAAGTTTCTTGGCACCGGTAGCACAGAGTGAAACATGTCTTAACTTTTAGCACAGGAGCTGGTCCCCTCCTCTCCCACTTTCATAGTCCACTCGATGTTTCAGAAAAGATGCATCTCAGAAATGAAGCACCTACAATAACATATTAAAGTTCTTCTGAATGTCAGTCTGGTGCTTTTTAAGTTCAATTTAGGTTAGCATAGTTTTTGGTTTTTGTTTGTTTGTTTGTTTGTTTTGTTTTTTAATATATTTTATTGATTTTTTATGGAGAGGAGGAGAGAGGGATAGAGAGCTAGAAACGTTGATGAGAGAGAAACATCGACCATCTGCCTCTTACACACCCCCTACTGGGGATGTGCCCGCAACCAAGGTACATGCCCTTGTCCGGAATCGAACCTGGGACCTTTCAGTCCACAGACCAACGATCTACCACTGAGCCAAACCGGTTTTGGCTAGTTTTGGTTTTTAAAATCACAGTATGCAAGTAAAACTATCACCATCCTTAGTTATTTCCATCTACTTGAACATGGAGTAAAATGGAGGCAATCTGTATGATTTGCAAATATCTGTTTTCTCTAGAGGCGATCTTACACCGTATTAAAGAAGCTGGATTTGAAATAATACGAATAAAGGAAATTCTGCTACTCAAAGAGGATGCTGACAAAATTTATTATAAAATAACACATAAAAATTTTTATAACAGTGTATTGGAGATATTGGCTACGTAAGTTTCTGAAATGTAGTTCTTTGTATTATAAGGTAGAAAATGTTTATTGTAGAAAGGGGAAAGAAATTAATTAAAACATTTAATCTAATCTCATTCATGAAAAGACACCTTATTAATATTTTGTGTTCATTTCCTTCCTGTTTCTTTTCTTTCCTCCATATCTTTCTCTCTTTCCTCTCCTTATTCCTTTTTTCCTTCCTTTCTCCTTCCTTCCCCCCACCCCCTTTTTTTTTTTAATTTAGGTCTTCACATTAGACATAGAGGCTATCTGGGTTTAATTTCCTGGTTGCCAATGTACTTTATCTGTATCTTATTTTCTTATATGTAAAACTAGAGGCCCAGTGCACGAAATTCATGCACGGAGGGGGGGGTTTCCCTCAGCCCAGCCTGCACCCTCTCCACTCTGGGACCCTCGAGGGCTGTCCAACTGCCCATTTAGGCCTGATCCTGGTGGGATCCGACCTAAACTCCTGGTGGGATCCAACCTAAACGGGCAGTCGGACTTTCTTCTCACAAGCCAGGACTGCTGGCTCCCAAGTGCTTGTCTGCCTGCCTTCCTGATTACCCCTAACAGCTTCTGCCTGCCAGCCTGATCACCCCTAATCACTCCCCTGCCAGCCTGATTGATGCCTAACTGCTCCCCTGCAGGCCTGGTCACCCCTAACTGCCTTCCCTTGTAGGCCTGGTTCCCCCCAACTGCTCTCCCCTGCAGGCCTGGGTTCCACCCAACTCCCCTTCCCTGCAGGCCCGATCACCCCCAACTTCCCTCCTCTGCCAGCCTGGTCACCCCTATCTGCCCTCCCCTACAGACTTGATTGCCCCCAACTTCCTCCCTTGCAGGTCTGGTCCCTTCCAACTGCCCTCCCCTAATTGCCTGATGGCCCTCAACTGCCCTCCCTTGTAGGCCTCATCCCTCTCAACTGCCCACCCCTGCTGGTCATCTGTGGTGTCCATCTTGTGTTCATATGGGGGCAGGATCTTTGGTAACCTGGGGGAGGCCATCTTGTTTGTTGGAATAATGATCAATCTACATATTACTCTTTTATTAGATAAGAGAGATGCCTAGCGTATGAATGGGGGTCAGCTGGTTTGCCCTGAAGGGTGTCCTGGGTCAAGGCGGGGGTTCCTTTGGGGTGTGGGGTGGCCTAGGCGAGGGGCCTGTGATGGTTTTCAGGCCGGCCATGGCCCCTGGTGACCAAAGTGGAGGCCCTGGTATCTGGGATTTATGTATCTTCTATAATTGAAACTGTAGCCTGGAGCGGAGCCAAGCTTCCTGTTTGCTCTGTGGCTGTAGCCATTTCTGTTGGAATTTGTTTACCTTTTTTATAATTGAAACTTTGTAGCCTTAAGAGAGACTTGGGTCTGCAAAGGCAGGCGGAAAGCTTGGCTTCCTCCATTGCTGGGAAAACCCAAGCCTGCCTCCTGCTCTCTGTGGCTGTAGCCATCTTGGTTGGGTTTATTTGCATACTTGCTCTGATTGGCTGGTGGGCGTGGCTTGTGGATGTAGTAGAGATATGGTCAATTTGGATATTACTCTTTTATTAGATAGGATGGGCATGATAATAGTACCTAACTCTTATGTTTGCTGTGAGGGCTAAAAAATTGATACATTGAAGATTCTTGGAACAGTGCCTAGAATATACCTATAGAATTAAACCATGGCCTTTTTCTTTTCTTTTCTTTTTCTTTTTAAAAAAAAATACATTTTATTGATTTTGTACAGAGAGGAATGGAGAGAGATAGAGTTAGAAACATCGATGAGAGAGAGTCATCGATCACCTGCCTTTTGCATACCCCCTACTGGGGATATGCCCGCAACCAAGGTTCATGCCCTTGACCAGAATTGAACCTGGGACCCTTCAGTCCCCAAGCCAACGCTCCATCCATTGAGCCAAACCAGTCTCGACACCATGGCCTTTTTCTACCAGCATTTTACTATGCCTTGAAACAAACAAAAATGAGAGCATTAAATAACACTAGTAAGTATAAAGAATAAGGAAAAGCTCTCTGGATGAAGCTGTGGCATTCTGTCTCTAGCCACGTATGCAATCTGTACAGTCTTAAGTGGCCCAAGTCTTCTGAAAGCACTGTTATTTGCAGGGGTCCATCTTTGGTCATGGTTCTGAGCAAGTGGAATGCTGTTTTAGACTGGAGACGAATGATGGGTCCCACAGACCCGAATGAAGCAAAGTTGTTGTCCCCAGACTCTATCCGAGCCCAGTTTGGAATAAGCACTTTGAGAAATGCTGTCCATGGATCAACTAATGCCACTGAGGCAGTGCAAGCAATTCAGAATATATTTGAAGAGATTGTTCCTGAGAATCCTGAGAATCCCGAGGAACACTAAAGTACAGTACCTCTTTAATAACTGTTATTTCCTTTTCTTTGGTCGTTACAGTGACTGGGTCTAGGACAAGTTTGTTCTGATCAGAACATCCATATGTTCCTGAATTAAATTATTTCCTGCCAGACATATAACATTGCTGCACAGCAACCTTGAAGCCTCAAAGCCAAACCTTGTGCAGGGACCTGGGACATAGTGGAGTAAGCAAGATATCCTTGGGGTTGCAAGCTATTGGTGCCATGTCTCAGGACAGTCTCATGAAGTCCCTCTCCTTGACTCCCCTCCATTTCTCCTCTTTGAATTGCCAAAGTTTCATTAAGCAGCCTCAACTCTATTCATTATTTGGAAACTTAGAACCTACTAACTACCTGTGGGTGATATATGGTGGTATGATAGGATATTAGGAACCATAAAGCAAAAGCCAGTCATTTCTATTCCTTGGCAAAGAGCTACTTATTTGGGGAGCATGTGTATTGAATCTGCTTAGTTACTGATGGAAAACTTGAAAACTTTTCTATCCTGGGTAATATGGAAAGTGGAGTATAAGATTGGAGACTTTTGCCATCAAACTTTCTTTCTTTCTTTTCAAAGAGCAGCCTCTCAGTTGTACACATATATGGCTTTGGAGGCTGGCTTTAATATGACCGTCCAGACTCTTCACATGTGCAGTGTTGTCTCCAGCTGGATGAGCCAAATTGAGACTCCGTCCCCTGAGCATAATGGGAAAGCACCGTGAAATGGAGAAATCCCTCCACACCCATTCAGGTTCCTCAGGGGAAAAAGTGTACATCGTTCCTTTAATAGTGTCATTTAGTCTATGCTTTCTCTAGATGTAAGAACACTGTATCAACACATTCAATGCAAAAATAAAAGTAGATTCTGGCATAGTACTGCTCACTTGATACATCTTATTTAATTACTAGAGAACTGATGGATGAAATTTGTTCAAGGGGCTCAACCCCTGCTCTGGTAGGTTTGTCTGAAGGCCATCCGGAAGGATGTCCAGAATGACATCTGGTCTAATTAGCATATTATGCTCTTATTATTATAGATGGACTAAAGCATGATTGTACAACCTATAAACACTTATGTTGAGAAAATATGTATTGTGTATCTGCTTGTACTGTGGGATTTTGGATAATAGAACACTGGTTGAATGAAGGGTGATACATTCAGGGAGATGCAAATGTAGTGGGAGACAAATCTCACAAAAACTATCTAACTATAACCACCACCATAAGACAATACATTATTTTTTTTTAATTTTTAAAAAAATGTATTTTATTGCTTTTTACAGAGAGGAAGGGAGAGAGACAGAGAGCTAGAAACGTCGATGAGAGAGAAACATCTTCCAGCTGCCTCTTGCACATCCCCTACTGGGGATGTGCCGGCAACCAACGTATATGCCCCTCACTGTAATTGAACCCGGGACTTTTCAGTCCACAGACCGATTCTCTACCACTGAGCCAAACTGGTTTCGGCAAGACAGTACATTATTAAGCATGACAGTGGTGAAACAACTACATTCTGTTTGTAGCATCTAATAACTTGGCTAGCTTTATCCTAATATTTCCACATTTCTCTCTCTCTCTCTCTCTCTCTCTCTCTCTCTCTCTCTCTCAGGAGAGCATTATGAATAGTATCAGGGACTTCAAATTAGTGTATAATACAATGCTGAATTGACAGGTGTATTTGATGGGTAGAAGCTTGAGAAGGTAAGAGATGTGATAGATCTTGAATAAAGTGTAGGATTTTCAAAATCAAAAGTAAGGAAGCAAGAAAGTGAATTTAGTTTTAAAAGTTTCTAAATGGGTACATCTTGATATTTATACATATACTAGAGGCCTGGTACCTGAAATTCATGCACAGGGGTTGGGGGTGTCCCTCAGTATAGTCTGCATTCTCTCCAATCTGGGATGCTCGACTGCTGGCTCCTAACCACTCACCCCGCCTGCCTGATTTCCCCGAACCACTCTGCCTGACAGCATTATGATAGCCCCCTCACCACTCCCCTGCTGGCCTGATTGACACTTAATTGCTTCCCTGCTGGCCCCATTACCTCTAACTGCCTTCCTCAGTGGGGCTGAGGGGATTGGGGGACTCTGGTTGCATGAGGCAGGGCTGAGGGGACTGGGCGCTGCCATCTTGTGGCTGTGAACACTGCCATCTTTTGAGTATGTGATGGTCAATTAGCATATTCTCTCTTTATTAGATAGGATAAGGACATTTTGATGGTTGCTTTTACTATGTCTACTATACTAGTTCATATCATTCTAAGGGATATAATTGTGAGACTGTTTCACATACTCAAGAATCATTTATTCAACTCATGGTATATGCTGAACACTGTTGTAGGGCTGAATACACAAAGTCCTTGTCCTAAAGGAGTTCAGAACTCTAAAAGAAGGAGACAAAAGAAAATCAGAGTGCTTTGAGCAGATGCATATAGGAGATGGTGAGGAAGAATGAGATACAAACCACCCAGGCAGGAGGCATTGCAGTAATCAAAGTGGAAGATAACAATCTGTAGAAATCATGAGTTAGCAATAAGTGGAATGACCAGAGAATCCTTAAAAGGCTGACTTGCATCCACAGGACTTATGATTGACCACCACTCTATCAAATAAATGGGAAAAGACAATGCTTCCTGGCTTGAGTAATTGATGACATGCTTGAACCATTCCAAGATAGGAGATCCAAAAAAAAAGAAGAAGGAAATACCATGAGTTCTGTTTTGCTCAAGTGGGGAATGGAGGCATCTGAATTGAGAATAAATCAGGCCCTCAGTGTAGCAGAGCTAAGACGGCTCCACTGGAATGACATCAGCAAAATGGTAGAGTAGGCAGCTATAAACACCCATCCCTCTTTGGGGACATTGAAGACATAAGCAGAAACTGTCAGAACAAACTTTGTCAGAGCTCTGGGGGAAAAAAATCAAAGGATTACAGTAACCAAATGAATACTGAAACAATAAAGGGGCAACTTAAAAATGTCCCATCACCTCCCCAAACTGGTCATACTCTTGAAGGTTACAGCTTGTGTTCTCAGCATGGGACTCTGGTCTTTGGTGCCAAAGAGAATAGAGCAGATGTTATGAACTAACTCGAGGCCCAGAGCACAGGTAGGGTCCCCAGGCCTGGCCAGTGATTGGGGCCAATCTGTGGGGTGACCGGTGGGGTAATCATGGGCCCCTGCTGGCACCCGCCTTGGCTGGCCTGGGGCCTGCGGGCTGAGGGCAGTTCCTGCATTGAGCATCTGCCCCATGGTGGTCAATGTACATCATTATGACCAGTCATATGACAGGCCATTCTGCCACTTGGTTGATTTGCATATTAGGCTTTATTATATAGGATTGCTGTGTTTTTCTGTTCTAACCTGTCTGGAGGCTACCTGAAGGGTAACACAAGGAATGTTGAAAACAGGGATGCAAACGTGTACACCAGTGACCGCATCAGCATTATGCATAATATCCGAAAGGTAGAATGCCCCAGTGCTTATCGACAGAAGGATGGATGAACAAGTATGGAATATACATATACACAATGGCCTATTATTTAGCCATGAAAATGAATAGAGTATTGATACATGCTACAAAATGAATGCATCTTGAAATATTATGCTAAATTAAATAATCTAGACACAAAAGGACAAATATTGTATGATTCCCTTCATATGAGGTACTAGAATAGGCAAATTCATAGGAACAGGAAGTATATTAAAGGGAGGTAGATGTGGGAGAAGGGAGACATTGCTTAATTGGTAGAGTTTTTGAATAGGGTGATGAAAAATTTTGGAAATACATTGTATTGTAAAATGTACAAAATCTATAATAGTCACGTGAATTACCAGTAAGGATGTTTCTCAAGTTTTTTAAATTGCATTTTCTTCAGAAAGCATTTTTACAAAAAAAAACTAGGGTAAATGAACGATCAACTTTCTCTGGATTATGCAGAGGAATAAGCATCGTGAAAATCTTCACCTTTTTTCACTTACTTCACATTCTATACTCCTTCAAATCAAATACCCTCATCGGCTGTTTATATGCTTGAGAGAGTTTGGGTATCCATAATATAATTGTGTTTTTGGTACACTGTTATTAAATGGTCCAGAACTTTAAGTGTTAAAACAACAAGCTCTCTAAAAATTCATAATATACCTTACCAGCAGATGGCAGGCTTCACTCAGTTGTCTATATATGTGTACAGTCTGTTCAAAGATTTTATAAGCAAGATATTGAGAAAGGTTATTTCTTTTAGATTATAGAATTGGTCTTGAGGTAACTAGTAGAAATCTAATAATTAATAATCAAAGAGATATAGTTAATTACACTTGAGTTTTTGTTGATGTTGGTCTTGAGGGTATTGAATTTAATGGGTAGGACACTACAACATGAGGCAGGCCTATGAGGGCTGGGATTAATCATACTTGGAAATATCTTCTTGGCCCTGGGAGAAAGGTTAGAAAAGGCTAGAAATTGTCAGGGCTCCATCTAAAGGGGCTGATTTTGAATCTCAGCTGGACTTTAGGCAGAAAAACCACACGTGTTTTGGACTACTGTCCCTGAGGTAATTGAGGACTGCAGTATCAGTGGGCACACAGGAGAGCTCTGAGATGAGTTTTGTAAGAATGACGAGAAGCACCTGCTAGTGAGGAGATGGGTCCAAATACAAGGAGTAGCTCAGAAGGTAGGCCAATGGTATGCTTGTGAGGGAAGCACTTCAATCTCAACAGCCAAGCAGAGCTGTGTCTTCATGAATTTCACCATTCAGAACAGTCACCATTATGTAGTACAGGCTTAGACATGCGTCTTGACTCTGAACCAGTGTCTTTGAGTGCCCCACTAAGCTCCTCTGGTGTCTTTCCAAGATAGGGCACCCGAAGCATTCCTGATTTGATACTCATACAATCCCCTCCCTGGATCCTGTTCCCTGTAGCGGATGCTCTGTAGAAAATGGAAACATTTCCTAAAACAGGCTATGACCTATTCTGTGGTCCTCTTTTTGGGCTCTCTTGATGCCCTTTCTTTTCCCTGGAAGGACCCCTGATTCGGATCGTTTCCTGAACTGCGTCTCAACTGGTTCACCCTTGGATGCTACTTTGGATGAACCTCCCAGCCAGTTATTGAAATGCTTTTAATAAAGAAACAAACTTCACTGGGCCATTTCCCACATGTTATTCAGCTGCTAAAACATTTCAATGACATAAGAAATATTTGAAAATTTTAGAAGACTGAAAATTGAAGAAGAAGAAAAAAAGCCATAAGATTCAACAACAATATTTTAGATATTTCTCACTACCATCATGGAATTTTATTCATAATGTCATGTTTTGCTTAATGTCAGTTCTTTATACCGCATTGTATTATTCGTGTTGTTACAAGTTTGTGAGATTTGGTTTCAGCCCTCTGGTTGTGAGTCTGCTGTCAGCTAAATTTTATTGTTAATAAAGTATGATCTTTTCCCTCTCAAAGTATATCACCAATGTGATCCAAACTTCTAATTATAAAATGGCTCTCACCTAGATGTTGCAACTACATATATTAGCATTTTGGGTTATAAAACTATTCTCATAGAAATATTGCCGCTAGGTATATTGGGTTTATGCTTATGTTACCTGAACAGGTAAAGGCAGACTTACACATCATAGTATTTCTTTTAAAAAAATATATATTTTATTGATTTTTTACAGAGAGGATGAGAGAGGGATAGAGAGCTAGAAACATCAATGAGGGAGAAACATCGACCAGCTGCCTCTTGCACACCCCCTACGGGGGATGTGCCCGCAACCAATGTACATGCCCTTGACCGGAATCGAACCTGGGACCTTTCAGTTCGCAGACCGACGCTCTACCACTGAGCCAAACCGGTTTCGGCCACA